AAACTAGAGGTACTACCCCAAACTAGAGGTACTACCCCAAACTAGAGGGACTGTGTCCAAACGGAGTCTGTATAAGATACCACATTTCATTCGGATCTGTTTATTAATTTGTATATGATAAGTCAAAGGTGTCTATCTAAAACTACCCCACGAATGTGACATTATCCAACTCATTTATTTCCGTTCCTCGGATACTAACAGAGCCAGACAGTCTAAGTTGTTTCTTTTCCCCTGAAATGAAATTTGTTTTTTTACTGTTGATCATTAATCTATTTGAGTCGCACCATAATTGCACCTTATTTAGAGTTGATGTCACATGAGTAAGATCAATATCACCTGTTCCTGAATAAGTATGAAAAAGATTTGAATAATCAGCGAAAAGAAAGTTGGAGAGTTAGGTAGATCATTTATATAAATGAGAAAGAGTGTGGGACCTAAGACTGACCCTTGTGGAACCCTGTGGCAAATATTAGCTTTTGTTGATGAGGTACCCCTGGAATACACATATTGTGAACGGCCATGTAAGTAGTTTTTAATCCAATTTTGACTTGGACCCCTAAACCTATAGCTTGGATAGCAAAATTTCATGGTCAATTGTGTCGAAAGCTTTGCTAAAATCAATGAACAAACCAAGTGTTGGATTACCCTGATCACTTTGACACAATAAATAATTAACTACCGGTAGTTTAATCAATGACAGCTTAGTAATATGATTCTTTCTGAAACCATACCGATGCTTGAACAGGATATACTTTTCTAAATATGCAAGGAATTGTTTATTGGCAATACTTTCAATAACTTTGCTAAACAGGGGTAGAATTGAGACTGGCCTATATTTTCCTAACTGGTCTTTTTTGAAAATGGACATATCTTTGACAACCTTTAGTAAAGAGGGGGAAATGCCAGACGTAAACAAACAATTGATAATATGGGCTGAAGGACTGCTAATAATATCCGCAGCATCAATAAGACATCTTGGTGATAAGTTATCCCACCCACCAGCTTCTTTTGCTGTTTAATCGGAGAAGAGTATTATTCATTTCTATTTTAGTCACTGGTTGAAGGAAAAATGAATTTGGCAATTGATGACCAAACAACATTACAACAACATCACTATAATTACATCTTTTGATTTCATTTTCCGATAACAAATAACATCAATTTTAAATGTAATTTCCAATCTTCCGATTACCTAGAAATTATGTCAGTCATGGTATTCGTATTACACATCAAGCACAGTTTTGTTTTGAATTTGCTTTACAAGAGATTCCACCAGTCTACCGAACTGAAATACGTCTGTCGAGTAACCATTTTTGGCCGTTTCAGATATTGACGGAGTTCCGATTAGGTGTGCGTGCAGAGGAGCTCCCTAGAAAATTGAAAAGAACACACTATTAGTTAATTTAGATGTACAGCTGTGTTTAAAGTGGGAGGGTCATCACCTGCGCACGCGTGGGAATTGAGTTCCAAGCGACGATAACAACAGACGCTAAAACCGCCAAGGCTCATGGGTAGACATTTGTTTGTAAACAATGGCACGCTATGGCCACCTGACGCATGCGCAGGTGACAACTCCCCCGCTTTAACCGATCACATATTTTCAAATGCACAACATCAGTGCAATGAACCTTTTTTTTAATTGTTTTCCTTGAATCATATGTACCTGGTACGTTTCTTCAATTAATACATGATCTTCATTGATCTGTGTGTGAACCAATTTCATTTTATGTAGCATCTCAATAGATTCAGCAATATCGCGTGATATGTTTGTTACGTCACGTGTCGAGAGAGTCTGTCCATATAATAGGTAGTGCTTCAATGGTCGAAGTCGAAATTCAGTGGAATGTCCCTCAAGTATCAGAGGTAGAAAACGACCATTACCAAGAGCTCTTATAACTATGATAGGAGGAAATATATATAAAAAGATGGGTTTCCAACGCGAGTTCAGTGAAAAATGTGCTTGGAAAATACATTACTCTTTTATATTGGAAAGTGAATTCGTCACCACATATCCACAATAAGAACCAGGCTGTCAGATGCAAACTTCTTTAATGAGTGTGTCTATTAACAAGGAAATATGTATGTTCTAACAATGCCTATACAGATTATTGTGAGATGTTATTGTTACAGATGTCATTGACCTACCAGATAGTCTGCTGTTATACTTCTCGTTACGCTTTGCCTGGGACAACGCCATTCTCTCTGTACTGTCAACAGACGTTGCATTTCTCTTCCTGAATTTAATTGTGGAAACAGTGTAGAGTATTGGATTGATAGAAGAATTCAGTGGTAATATGAACACAGCAGTGACTGCGTACAGGTCGCGTGGTATGTATCCACCACACATTCCAACTATACTCATAATAATAATTGGAACCCAACAGAAAAAGTCAGTCATAACGATGGCTGTCATTCGCCGAGCAATTGCGGCGTCTCCTCTACGATTACCACATGCAACTCTACTGGAAGATTTCTTTACTACCACAAACATGACCAGATACGCAATAAATATCATAAAAAACGATATCAGGTTGATAACAAGGAATATTGCGATAGAATATTCCCAGCCAGGAGGAGTGGCACTCGTGAGCTGCAGCGGCAGACATACACCGGTTCGTGCATAAAATCCATTCCCAAAATAATTTATTGGAAGCATGGGTATTGCTGCTATCATTATAACAATAATCCAACCCAGAAGACATGTTTTGTACGCTGATTGTTTGTTCATTTTCCTCGTGCTGAATGGAAACACTATGCAAATGAAACGGTCCGCCGTAATAACAGTCAACGTAAAGACCGACACTTCACTAGATACCGTGGATAGAAAGCCACACAGATTACACAACCAACTATGTCGCCAATCATAATCATATACACTATAATTGCCACGATATAGCATATCAACAGACGCTATTATCAGCATATAAATGCCCATCAGAAAATCAGCACAACCCAGATTTACAATCAAAATAGAGTGTCCCTTTTCCCTTTCCTTAGTGTCTCTCATTCGCCAAATTATGACGAAGATGTTACCCAGAAATGCACTCAATCCAAGAATCCACACACAGATTCGCAACACCTCACTTTCCATCAGCTCCTCACAGGAACTAAACATATCAGCCTCAGGGGTGCACTCTAGCGAATCAGCAGCGTGAGTATACGTAGTTGCTAGGCAACAGAAGAAATATTCATCCGAATATCTGAAATGAAAAAAAGAAGAATTTACTAAACTTGATATATTCAGATGTATCAATAACCTGCTTGCATTTGAAGCTACTACATGCAATACAATATATTATAATAATAAATCGTAATAGCAAAAATAATTAGTATTGACAGGATTGTATGTTGATAGTATTAGACATAGTATTAATATTGAAATATTTGTGAACTACATTGTTTAATCAAAGAAAGCTGAGAAAGAACTCCCGTGTGCTTAGAGTATTGTAGACACATTAAACGTAATTCAAAATTTAAGATTTGTTTTTCAAACGAGAAGCTTGTCAACTAATATTTGTCTGCTATTTGAGATGCAAAACATGAAAACAATGTGATTCACATTATCAAAATTATAATACATACAGAAAATACATTTTATTTGTCATCCATGGTTTTTAGTCTAATTGTGGTGAATTCAATTTAAATCAGATTTTTTTAGATATCAGAAATATTAGATAATCAATATGCATCTTTATCAACATTAAACTAATCACGTCTGTGAACAAAATGAATTATTATACAAATTAAGCATTTATTATGCATATATATAGGTCTGTGTATTGTTTCAGAATGCACATGTACAACATTTAATCGTAATGTGATGAGTAATCCTAACTAAATTAGTATAAAGCTGAAAAGTAAATTATTATGCAAATTAGGTAATTATTATAGATGTATATGAACCTAAAACTAATTAGATCTGTCACAGACCAACTATGTGATTAGAACCAAAAAATATAAATCATTATGCAAATTAGGTAACTAATCTAATTTTAATCTGATCTGATTCTAACCCAAAACTAAGCAGGTCTGTGCATTGTTCTAGAGCATCAATGTACCACGTTTCATTGAAATGGAATAATTAGTACATGAGATATCAGCGTAAAAGCTGAAAATTGGCAAATGAGGTAATTAATATTATGCAAATTAGGTGATTACTATGCACTGCTATTCACCCAACACTAATCAGGTTTGTGGATTGTCATAGAACATCTATGACCAAGATTCATTGAAATGGGATAATTAGTACTTGTGATATCAGTGTAAAAGCCGAAAATTAACTAATTATGCAATTAGTTGATTAATATGCACACATTTTTACCCAAAACTCTGTCCAGAGCATCTATGTACCAAGTTTCATTGAAAACCAACATACGGTTCTTGGAATATCAGTGGAACGGACAGACACGTACATATACACACACATACAGACAGACTAACTGCAAAGACTCACATTGTTTGATTCAAAAATGCAATGTGATTCAATGAGCAGATTGGTAGTAAGTACTTACAATTTTGTCAGGTTAGTGAGAGGCTTGAAGAAACGCGTATCACCATGAATAACAATTTTATTATTACTGATGTCCCTGTAACAATACATATGTAGTGAAGGTAATTGATATATGGTGGCATTTGAACTGTATGACAGATAATCTCAATTTTAATGATATTTTATTTGTTGTTCTCTATTTATGTTCTCTATTTAACTCACAGTATATTAACAAGCCAGATATATGATCTATTTAATAACGAATTACGTTTGTACGCACTAGTATTGATTATATTATAGACATCAAACCAAATGTACATTATAAAATACTATGTTAGTAAAATACCGTGTAAATATACTCACAGTTCTGTAATAAACAGACCATTAAATACTCCGTTGGTTAATGTACTCAACAACAATCCACTTAAGTTTCTTTGAATATATAAACATCATATGAGTTATTTGAATATATAATTAAAAACAGACGAATGTATATTGCAATATTTGTGTTAGCTCATGAGTGCGTGTAAATAGAGGAATTGTGCAAAAAATGGGATTACAAAGATATTAATATACAACACATGTACTTTCTAAATTAGCTATATTACAGTAATGAAATAACAAATGTCAGTCATTTATAACTTACTTAAGTTGTATTATCTATTTTGTAAAATAAAAATGACAAATGTCTGATACCTGTTTACTTTACATTAAATATTCAAATACATTATTATAATCAAATGTTTCAACAATTGTCACAACGCCCTCTATTGTTACAGTATGAACAATATCACTCCGATGCAGTACAGCCTAACTCTACTTTTTATATAAAAAGTGGTACACATCTTTAATTCGTTTTTGGCACACTTATGCCGCAAAAAATGCTGTAAATGTGACTAAAAATTATAAATCCAAACCACTAGAGCGCACATCAATCTATGTTTCCCATCTATAAACAATAGGAGGCTATCTCCCACAATGCAGTTCGTATACTTGCACTAACATACTCAGTAGTGCTTAATTGGAATTCTTCGCCTTGAATCGATTATTATACTTACAAAGACGTGAGTGATGAGAGCCCAACAAATGCATTATTTTCTATGGATAATATCGGGTTTCCAGTCAACAATCTGAAAAAACAACCATGAGAAAACTGTTTTTATTTAATGTACTAAACAACGTACAATGTATGTCCAACAGTATGCATTCATTCACGGCCAAAAGTTTAGTAGTATTAAAAGATGCAATATGTAATTTGTACTATTTTAGTTTGATACTTTATGTTAATGAAGACATCGGATTATGATTATGGCATAACAACGAACTCTATATTACACAATGACATAATTTCATATTCAATAACGCTGGTTGTTTTTGGTACAGTGCAACTGTACAACGTGCATATTAGTGGTTTTAATTTTCCATCTAACGAATATCCTGTGTCTGGAAAACGCAGTTTATGATACATTATAATCCGATTGTCTAAAACAATATTAAAATACAAATGACCCGTAAATTAAAAGCAATGTCTAGAAACATGTGAATAAATATACTTACAATTTTCGAAGTTTTGACAAACCATCAAACGATCTAGGTTGCAAACCAAATAATCTGTTGTTTTTAAGATTTCTGCAAGTAAAACATTTAATCAATCACCATTGATATATTGTGCCATTTGACTAGACTGAAAGCAGCTAATTACAACTTAGACCACTTGTACATTTCATATGGTGAAAACAAGTTACTAATCATAGGTGCGACTCACAAGACTAGTAGGTTAGATAATCCACCAAATGTTCCTGGTAAAAAAGATTCAATACCATTACCAGAAAGTTCCCTGAGAGTAAGAATAAAACAACACTGACGTGTGAGTTGTTATCGCCTATACTCAACAAATATTGGTTAATAATGGAAGCTCTTCAGCAACCAAAACATGCATGTTGATTGTTATACGAAGATTGTACAGACTAATTGTCAATTAAAAGGTGTCAATATATTTGAAGAATACTTACAGATTTGCTAACCAACTAAATCTTTCAAACATACCAATCTTTGTAAAAAACAGAGTGTTCCATTTAATAGTACCATTACTTTCCTCGTATTGGGATAACTGGCTGTTACGTGTCACACTATCTCGATTTATTTTTCTATATACAAGATATATAAATTCTATTACAATAACTGAACAGAATATGCTGGGTATGATTTAGTTCAAACTAGAACCATTCGATATTTGTTGGGAGTACGGTAGTTGTTACCTAAATCTTCTTGCAATGGCACACCAGGCGTGAAATTGGTGATTTGAGCTTACATAAGATGGCG